GAGAGAGAGAGAGAGAGAGAGAGAGGGGGGGGAGAGGGAGAGAAGAGAGAAAGAGAGAGAGAGACGGAGCCCAGTGTTCCAGGTGGTGGGAGGAGAGAGAAAGGTCTCTTTGCCGGCGGTCTCTCCTTCCCACGTGTTCGCATCACGTGTTGTAACTTGTAGAGAGAAGGAGGAGGACGTGATGCGATGTCCTCCCGACCCTCGTCGAGGGAACCAACCGGCAGCGGAATGATGTACTTCCGCTCTTGGCGCCGCTCTTGGCGAATAGTTGGAGAGGATGATTGAATTTCGGGAATTTCTGGGAAAGGCTGCCGGAGATCGAAGATGGTAAAGGTACCATCGGGAGATCTCGATGACGAGGTTCGCCAGTCGATTCTCGAATATGAAATTTCGTCGGATGCGACCGCTCAGTGATTCCGAGTATGGCGGATCCCAAAATTCCCTCGAGAAGGATTGTTCGGAGATTTATGATTGGTATTATCAATCCCGGTTAACTTCGACCGACCATAATTTAACCGACTCTTTATCTCCATCGTGGAATTACAACAGACGAAGAAAATTCCGAAGGTAAATTATGAAAGAAGTTAATCGAGACTGATAAAAATCGACTGTTGAACTCTCCCGTTGTAATATATGATCAAGTGTGATAATTATGTCTTCTATGCATGTAAGATATAAATGTGACAACTTCCCGATGAAAACAAAACGTTCTTTTTTTAATAACGTTGAGAAGTATTTTGAGCGGATACATCCCAAGAAAGAACATCAAGACTGCAAGAGAACGTTACACGATAAACGGCAATACGGTTTATCGTGTAAATACGGTCATATCTGGATTTACGGGACGTTCCACAAACGTGTGTGTGTGTGTGTGTGTATTGTTTCTGAAAGCGATTTAAGAGCATTACATCGTAACCCGAAGGAGGTCATTCCCACGCGTTTCTTTCAGCTCCCTTTCTCGAGCGAAGCGTGCCCACCCTTTCGGGCCAGGAAGCGGTTACATTGGGCGCACCTCGCGTGTTTATGTGGTCACCGAAAAACGTATTTCGCCTCGGTCAAACGGATTCGACGCACTCGTACGTGATGGCGTGCGAGTGGCTCTGTAATTCGTAACTCCCGAGCTACAGCCTCAAGAGCTATCGCTGTTACACACCTGGTAACGCAGGCCGCTAACTTGCAGTTACAAGCTCGAGAATTATTGCCTTTATAATATACGGTTGACGTATAACAGCAATCGAGGATGCTGCGAAAAGGAGGATTTATGAAAACAAAGCCTCCGCCGTGGGATTTATGAAATGACGAATTTACGCGAACTCTCGCGGTATCAACGAAATTAGCTCGGGTTTATCGAAAGCCAAGAATTTCTTTGATCCACTTCAAAGCGGTGGAAACTGTTATTTAAAGCGATTTTTCTTCGTTTCTTTTCTTACATTATAGGTTAAAAGTATCAGATTGCTGCTGATATGTTAAGTCGTTTCGCGTTCGAAGGCCTCGAAATTAAACGCGGTTGATATCTCGAATGCCTCTCGCGAACGCGACGTTATCGAGTATCCGCAACAATATCCCCATTGGCGAATAAAGAAAATGCCCCCCCCCTTTGTCCACGGCGAGAATCTGTATCTTTCCCGTCCCCGGAAAGGAGTTAACAATAGAGGTTCTAAACTCACTTCCCCGATCTCTCCAGAACGCAGCCCCTGTCAACGTGGGCTATTCGGGTTATTCCACCCTCTCCTTCTTCATTGTCTTCGGTTGTACCAGCCCTATCGCGGATTTCTCTCGTGCCATAATTACAAACGAAGCCAATTAAAGCTGATGAGCGGCCTAAATAGCCTTGTGCCGTGGTTTGCCTGCATCCCCGAAGTCAGTTCGCGACACAATAGCGCTGACTGCCGTCCTGTCATCACGAGAATTATGAGCACTTCTCGTCGAATGAGGATCGGTAGATCAAATCGTCGAATAGTAATACCATCGAAATAACGCGACCTACGAGATAGATATTAATTATATTATCAAAGTTCCTTACCTTAATTTTTATTTTATTTAATTTAAACTTTGTCTCTATTGATGAACAATTTCCACATTCCGTGAAAAGAAACCCGCGAGATAATAAAATATTTGGCACGTTACTCAGAAATCGTGTCGCGGAATTTCTTTGTGCGCGGAACGTTGTTCGTACGTGATAAACAAGATTATATCTCACTTTTATCCTACTTTTATCCCGTATTCCCGTCTACTAACAACGTTCAACGGACAAAGGAGCGGAATTGAGAAAACGTCATCTTCCCCCCGTTGGGACTTAGTGCATTTAGCTCAAAGTTAAACCGACGCGATTTCAATCCGTCGCGAACGTTCAGACTGCCGCGAATCGAAAGCTGTCGATCCGTATAATCCAGTCCTGACATCGCCTAATCGCCCCTTGGATTTCCCTCCGTGATCCCACTTGACCTTCTTTCGACCACCGTCATAATCCGCCTGAGCGCGCGAGAACCAACAATAGCCGATATTTAATCGATAGCGACTCCCTCGGCGCCCGTGCTCGATCTCTCGATTCCACGACTCGGTCCGATTTACCTATTACCGCTCGTGAAATATTGGCAAACTCCGCAGCTAGATTAACGAACTCATGATTTATCGGTCCCTTTTTGGCCGCTCCGTTTCGCCCGGATTAATCGAGAATCTCGCGACGGTCACTTGTCGGCCTCTGTCCACCGCGATATTTATGGCGATGACCTATCGACGTTTAGAAATCATTTTCCTACTCGAGTCTCAAATTCAGAATTGCATTTATAATTTTCCGCAAACGGAACGGCTAACAATCTTAATAAACTTGTCGTATTAATGATATTCTGAGCTTGTTTAAAAAGAATTATGGCTTTGAAAAAAATTAAATATAAATATTCAATAACGCATTTGCATTATAAGTAAATAATAATTTTATTTAAACATTGTGTGTGTGTGTGTACGTGTTATATGTAACTATATAATATAATTTATAAATATAAAGAAGATCTAAACTGTAATTGTAATATGAACCATCAAAAGGTAAGAAATAGCGACTTTATAAAAGATAAATGCAGTCTTTCTCGCATCTTTCGATGTCAAACTTCAGCCAAAGTCTCAGAATTCCTTTTCAAATTATAACGACCCACTTAACAATTCCGATTTTATTAAGAACCCCTGCGGAAGTGAGACTCGGGCTTTTGCAGACCGGAACGAAAGGGGAGAACGAGAAAAGGGATAAATGGTAAAATGGCGATCGGTGCTATGATAATTAAAACGGAAAATTATGAGACGTAAATCGAGAACTGAAAATTCATCGAACGCCGTATTCTCTTGCGTGCAGAAGCTTTTAATGCGTAACGTAATTTGCACCGACTTTAATGAATGACGTAAAAACTAAAGTATACATATTCTTTTTTTTTTTTGCGAATATACAACGCTTTGCGAAAATTATTGAATTTGATTACTAAATTAAACTAAAGAACAATTTCCCTTTTTTAAATTTCGTCACTCCCTTTGGCGTAGTTTATCAAACTCGTTTTAGCTTTCGTCGAACTTTTATCAACCGTTATTAACCGCTCTTGTACAATGCAGCTCGAAGTTTGCTCGAAACTACGTAATTGTGAGGCTGAGATGAGTTAGCTATTAAAGCAAATCCGTTCGATTTGTAATACGATAGTAAATAATCTTAATGCTAAATCCAATCATCGAGTGGATGGCAACGCGCGTGGATGGAAACGTCGACAAATCCGTGGATATGTCGGATATATCGGCGCGAGGCGTTCATCCCTGATGACAGTAATGTCCGCAAATCCTCTGCAAAAACACGATTCATGTATATGCAAGGCACGTTGACGTTGTTTTCGATAGTGCGCTGTATATCATTTTAACTCTATCCAAAAGAGAGAGTGGACACATCGGTCACCAGATTACTCGTAAAATAATTTATCCAATAATGTTCATTTAACAGCATACGCAGCATTTTCGAGTTTTACATTATTACGTAAAGTACATTAATACTCTACTCGTTTTAAATACCGTTGGCCAATAGTTATTACTGAAAATTAATTATAATAATAATAATAATAATAATAATAACAGGAACAAAAGCTATAACTTCAAACTCGAAGCACCTCGGAGAATAGAAATGATAAGAATCAAAATTGTTTATTTATAATATCTTTTTTTGATCTAACAAAAAAATTCACTTTGACGCTCTTCTAACGCGTAAAATTGTCGATAAGTGTAGTTGTTAATAATCCCGCGAAGTAAAAAGGAATACATAACGTGACACCTGTCACCTGTCGCGTATGCGATTCGTCCCGGTCAAGAGGGCCGACAATTCGTTTCACTCTCGGCGTCGACGCACGCGAGTTTAGGGATTCCGACGACGACGTTCTAAGGATATTGCCTTTCGTAGCCTGTCACGCACCACGTCGCGCGCATGGCAAGAGCGCCGGTGCCGTCGATTTGAGAATACCTGAGCGAGCGGATCCGAAAGAAATGTCAAGCGGAGTCAAACGGCGCGGAAAGCCTCGCCGATCAATCCTCTCAATGGATCGTGAACGGAGTGTCGCGTCAATACATTCAATACCGATTAACTCTATATATATATATATATATATATA